AACTGAACTGAGGATCTCCGATCTCCTGACACAAGCCGAGGGCCATAAATGGGAAAATGCGTCGTTTGTGATATTTTCCTATACGTTTTTTTGCGATTTTTGACTGTGTACACGAAATGCATTCTTTTTGCGGTTAGCGCTCCGTTTGTTTAAGTGGATCACTTTGCTCGCGCGCGCCTACGAAGGAAAACGTGAAGGATATGGTATGTCTTCTTGTGTCCGTGTTAATCACTCGTTTCGCGCGTCTTAGGCCAAACGCACGAAAAAGGTTGGAATTGTCGGAAAGTACGGCGTACGTTATGGTGCGTCACTTCGTAAAACAGTGAAGAAAATCGAAGTTAGCCAGCATGCGAAGTATAATTGCAATTTCTGCGGCAAAGTAAGTCAATTTAGCTTGATGACTGTTGCCTTAGGATTCGCTGAAACGGAAAGCGGTTGGCATTTGGGAATGCAAAGCTTGTAAAAAGGTTTTGGCAGGCGGAGCTTACGTGTGCAGGTATGTTTGAATATCTATCACGTTATATGCTTCTTATGTAGTACCACCGCGGCTGCCACCACCCGAGCGGCTATCCGACGATTGCGTGATGCTCACGAAAATTAAGTTTCGTAATAAAGTTTTCAGGTAGAAGTGTTTAGTTTTCAACGTCTTTGGGTTGAGTGCACATCACACTTTGATCGAGATTATTCACGCTTATACATGCGTTTCGCATGCTTTAATCCTACTGGCGTTTTCGACACTTGTTCCCGAGCGGCCTGTTACCGCTGTCTCAGCAGTCGTTTCTTTATGAATGTTTGCCGAATTGTGTGAGGGCTGTTCGTGGTTGTCAAGATGCGTAGGAAGTCTGCCGCTCGATGATTTGCGGAGCAAGTTCAAGTTTGGTCATTCGTTAATGATAATTATCAACTTTCAGGTACCGCGTACCTATGTGAAAAGTAGTTAGAGAAAACAGTAATAGGCATAAGTGCTGAATATTACCTTTTCGGCGACGAATACTCAGTCGGTTTTTAGTTAGGTATCGGAAAGACTTGGTCCATCTCCCATTATGTTTCACAGGATGCGTTTCTGTAGGGTGTTGTGTGCTACTAATCTTCGCACAGATAGTTCACGTGATTCTCAGTATAGCGTTTGAATTGTTTAATCAAAGTTTAGCAATATTTGGGTGAATTGAGTGTCTGCAATGTTTGTTGAGCGAGGCCACGTAATGCCACCGGTTGACAACCATGGACGATATCATCCACTGCAAGAATTGTTCTACTGATCAGCTTCCTAAAGAGATGTCGCCAGGATCCGGCAATGTGGGTAGGCCATTCGTCCGCGGAATACACTAATGTTTGACGTTAAGTACTACATGGGCTTTGTCGGTTATGAAAAATAGCTGTCATCACATTAATTGCTCTTAGCTTCTCTTCATCACTAGGTAATGGCTCCCGACGCATCTAAGTCATTTCATGTGAATCCTCAGAAGTGAAGTTTTCCAGTCCTGGACGTACTTCCCAATAGCAGTTCTGTTCACCGTTATATGGGAAGTGTCAGTGCCTATGTAAAAATCAGCAGAGTCAACGGATTTCATAAAGTCGGTTATCAAAAACAGGTCGGTTGCATTTTCAGCTGCAGTGTGTGAATTAATGGTGAAAAGTGACTCATTTCTCGGCAGTGACTGAACGTTTGGTCTCAGTCGTCACCAACACGTGGGCTGCTGTGATACTTCTAGGTTTGACTCTTCAGAGAAAGAACGTGGTCGCCAAAGCGCATCTTGTCGAAACTCAGTGATCTTTCAATTTCCAGAAAGGGTTCTAATGGCGGCATGAGCATCCGCGGGATCAGTTCGATGCCAACCGTTACGAAATTAGTAGCCTGTGTTACTTCGACGTCTGACACCCTCACGGGGGAGTTAATCGTGAACAAGGAGCAGGACTCCAACCACATCGCTGTTGTTCGACCATGTTGCGTCAAGTACCCGAGGTTTACCGTTCACGTCGTCGACCAACGATTGTCTTCGTCTCAGTTGAGCACGAAGCACTGATCCGGAAATGGATGGTACAGACCTGTACACATATATTCCGGACACTACTCCCATATTTCTGGTAATGTAAGGGTGTGATTCGAGTTAAGCAGATCGTTTGAAACCAGAAACGGTGTTCGTCAAGGGTGCCCTGTTTTGCCATTCGTGTTCAGTTGTGCAAGAATGCTTGAGACTCGGTCTTGCAGACGCTAACTTTCATGGGGCGGCTGGCGGAAAGCTACGCAACTGATAACTTCGTTTGTTTGTTAAAGTGCACTTGGTAGACTAACAAATGTGGCAAATGTGACGCTGGAGGATTGGTTGACGTCTTGTATCGCTTTGAATTGATTGCTTTACTCACTCAGGTAATTGTGACTGACAACAGTAGCACAGCAATGGAGATAACCGCATTCATTTCCGAGGCTCGAGCATTCCACCCTTGATTGAAACTTTAGCGTAGACGCGACGTTCCACTGAAGTTAAGGGGTCATATATTTATTGTGCTGCCGTTCGTTCAGTTATGCGTTATGGTTGTGAGACCTCGAGTTTGCGAGTAGATGTACATCGATCAGGATTCTCGTCCATTAGGGCTTTCCTAGATTGACTCCCGTGAGATGGAGCGAACGGATTAATAATCTGGAAATACCCATCGTGTGGTTGGGTTTTTATCGGGAAATAACTTGCTAGATCTTCTAATTCAGATTAATGGGTCACATGTTGCAGTTCAGTTCTCATTCCCATTAACCATGTACTTTCGTCCAGCGGTTTTGGTTACCATTCGGATGAAACTGCAGAGTGAAGATTAGAATGTTGAGGGCGAATTCAAGCGCGTTAATATTGACCGATGTTGCAAGAATACAGAAAAGATGCATGAGCGCCACTGCGATACTACCGTAGCGCCCAGGGTCCCCAGCCAGGGAGCCTAACGTGTCCCATGTGACCCAGTCTTATTATTATTGATATATTATATTTCACGCTTGTTTGAGACCAGACTGTGCCTGGCAAATCATAGTACAATAATCTTTATTAAAAGAAAAACGTTCCATGGTTGGCGGTTTTCGAACACCAACCAGCTGCCTTACGAGTCAGACTTTGGATAAACGAAGGCTCCGGTTGTGGATTCCTCAAGAAAATTCACCTGCCTTGGTTTGGGCACCCTGACAGTATTCGGCCTACAAGCCAACCTTGGAACGTTATGACCCAGTGTTCTGGTTAGGGTCTTCATACCTGCATGCAAGGTTCTCGTTTGACCGCCCTTGATCGTTTTCCAACCGCTACCTGCCTCGATAAACATCACTCGTGGCAACCTATCTGATGACGTGCGTAACACATGCCCCAACCAACGTAATCCATGGACGTGGACTACTTGCCCTGGTGGACGACCACGATTACCTTAGATCTAACCTCTCATGGATACGGCTCAGTGTGGTTAACAGTGTCGCTCGTGTATTTTCTCAATTTATTTGCAACCCTAGTCCACTGAAATTCTCCATTTTCTGTTCGACTCTACTTTCAACCTCCTCCTCTTCATCCAAACGGGCAGCCAAAACCGGCGCACAGTTGTGTTAATGGTTGTACGAAATAAACTGAACTGAACGTCTAACCTCAGCATTGCTCGTCTGCTTACTCCATCCTTCTAGCACTGACAATTTATATCATATTTTGTCTCGGCACCCTAGAGGAGCACAGGCCGAACTGTTGCGGCATGCACTGGACCCTTCACAGGCGGTGTATGAAAACCTCAGTCCATTAGGAGCCGGTGTCCAGTTCATCGGATCGTTCGCCCTTTGGACGGGTTCAAAAGTCCAAGGTGCCCAATACGCCTCGATGCTCAATCGAGCCGGTGACCAATGTCACAACCGAGGTGCGGGTGTAATTCGTACTACTCCTCTTGGTTGGTTTGAAATCAGGGTTTTTGGCCAACTCCCCTAGGTGAACTACCAGTGGTCCACCAAACCGCTTATGACCCCCGGATGTCGTCTTTTCGACCTCATTTTGGTGGGAAACCTCTGCCGCCTTCAAAGTACGAAGTGATGCTACAAGACTGGGTATTGTATTGTATTGAATCGTATTAACTTCTGCGAGTATGAAACCCAAATTTCAGTGTCGTCTGCTCCAACGCTGATGCTTTATGATCAAGAATTAGGTGTAATGGAATGTTTCACCTACTTAGGTAGCTGCGTTTCAAATGACAGTAGCATAGTCAATGGAGTAACCGCACGCATTTCCAAGGCTCGAGCAACTTAACCAGGATTGAAACACTTTTGGTGCAGACGCGGTGTTTCGTTGAAACTCAAGGGTCGCGTATACTGCGCCAGTGTGCGGTCACTTCTGCTTTATGGTTGCGAGACCCTGAATTTGCGCGTGGAAGATGTTCGTCGTCTTAACGTATTCGACTACAGATGTTTACGTAGTTTGGCGCTGGTCGCATGAAGGCAGCTTGTAAACAACTCTGAAGTGAGGCGTCGCGTATTTGGCAATCATTCCGTGGAGAATTCGTTGTCCCATCGAATTCAGATTAGTCGGATTCGCTGGTTAAGCCACGTGTTGAGCATCCCCAGCCATCGTCTGCCGCATCGCGCCTTATTCGCAGTTGCGGCTCGAGGTAGGAAGAAACCGCGTGGTGGTCAACAGATGGCGTGGAGGCGGGGCATGAAGAAATGCACAGATCGATTAGGTAGAATCGGTGTTTCCCGTCTTCCAGGTTGAGGTCCGAAAGACTGCAACTGGCTGACTGGAGACACTGAAAGATATGTCGACTGACCAACACCAGTGGCGTGCTTGTTATCATTTCTTTTCAAGTCAGAATGCTTGGAAAGGTCTGTATGCACACTCTGTGTTCACTATAGAGGTTTCTTTTTCTTTGCCTCCAGTTAGGCCCAATCTTTCTCCGCCTTGTGCTTTATCACATAATTTGTGTACAATGTAAGCTTGGCAGCGATCAGTGAAGTTCGCTTCACTGTACCTCGCTGTACGATGATGATGATGATGATGATGAGTGCCACGAGAAGGCAGTGAGTAGGAGTTCCTCAGCAGAGGCAATTCGAGACGCTTGGTCGTATAGGAGCATCTTGGTAGGTGCAAGAATAGGGTGACCAGCTGTAACCCTGGACACCCACCCCCAACCACATTGAGGTATTTGGAGGCGTAGCAACGTTTTGCACTCTGAAGGTGCAAAACGCATAACGAATACAGATGCACTGTCACTCAAACTATGCACAAACGCTTATAGTAACCTGGATATTCACTGAGCAGCACAATGTCGTCTGCATTTTCTAACTCAGACAGCCTGCCACACGGGAGTAGATGTATGCCACTATCCACGCACGAGGATAGGGCGGTTTCGGCAATCAAATCTATATTCAGGTTAAATAGAAAAGATCAGAGAGGGCAACCCTGACGAACTCCTCTATCTGTGGTGAACTCGGGTGAAAAAGTGCCGTAAGCACGGACCCCAACTCGGCTATTAGAATAAAGATATTGTAATAATGAAATAAACTTCGAAGTCACACTGATGATGTTGCCTAGCTTGGCTGCGAAACGTCTGCGAACAACACTTCCTGCTCGGAGAACTCACCAACACTAACATCCGCATCCC